GAGAGAGAGAGAGAGAGAGAGAGAGAGAGAGAGAGAGAGAGAGATTGGGGAAGGAGTATAATTATGAAGGTGAGAGTGTATATAGATGATCAAACTAGAAAGGGGACAGAAAGAGAAAGATTTCCGAAGCAGGGAAGACACATGTGATACGAAAACAGCAAGGGGACTATCACACATATGGAAAGGTATGGGTGGGGGAGGTCGTCACATAGAAAAAGGAATAAGAGAAGTAAGGGAAGAGTACCAACAAAAACAAACTAGGTTTGAAATGCTACAATGAAACCATGACTTTGTCTTCTAACTATAAAAAGAAAAATGGACAAAAGAGGAGCTTTCTTTCCACTTACAACTATTTATCATGATTCAGCTCATAAATAGCATGATACATGACTTCAACTGGACTCTGTCAAGCATACTTGTCTTTTTAGAGTTACTGCAGTGGGTAAAATCCAGGCCTTCTGAGAGCTCACAAGGTGCTATCATTGGGGTCAGTGGAAGAAACCCCGGAAAGAAGCCAAGACAGCAGAGTTATCTTGAGGAGCAGCCACACATGGCAGAGATGCAAGAAGCATTCATTCTGTAGGGATGTGAGAAGTGCCCACCCTGTAGGGATTCAAGGAGGACACACTGCAGGAACTCACACACTCCAGGGATGAAAGAACCACAGACACTACTGGACCAGAAGCAAGACACTGAGAGAACCTATGTTCACCTAGGAACATTCAGAAACTGTTCACTAACAAAAGCCCAGGCTGAAATCACTGCTGACAACGTGGAGTAATTCTTAGTTTCTTCATTTATAATACTACACTGACTTGCAATCCAAAGTGGCTGCAAAAGCCAACAAATTTACAAATTGCTACTACTGTTGATGAAAAGGAGACAAGATAGTTGGGGGCGGGCAGACTTAGGCAGGAAAATAAGATTCATGGAAGATCATTACTCATATAGGTTTAACTGTGAAGAGGTCTACAAAATTCCAAATATATGTTTTGCTTTTTTTTTTTTTACAAATTTACATATGAACACAAACCTCATACATACTCAGCTTAACATTTAAAAATCACAAATATTAAGGCATTATTAAAGCATATGCATCACTAACAAGAAATACAAGTTTTTCTCAATTTAGGAATAATTGTTAAAGCACATGCAAGTTCAACAATTTAAAATATTCTGAGAATGTTAAGTGAGAAGAAAATGTGGGTGTATTTATTAATAAATACAGACAAAACTCTAAGTATCAGTTTAATTTAAATAACTCTGTTGTAGTTAAAAAAATGTCGAAAGTCACACAAACAATTCCAGTAGTAGAGAGGGCTGTAATAGACAGAACAGTAGTTCCCTGAATTGGAGGAATTAATCCAACTTCAGCATCCAACTTACATTGCTCCATTGGTATAGACAGTATCACTTCCTTCCACATACTGCACCTGAGCTGGGTAGACATGTTGGACCTGCTGAACTGTCTGTACCTGCTGCACCTGAAAAACAAATATGAGGAACGTTAAGTGGTAGACATCAAAAGGGTATACCACACTAGATCTATGGTAAACAATAACCATAGAAAGGTTACACTGTATTGGATCCATGGTAAGTGGCAGACATAGAAAGAGTACACCACATTAGATTTAGCTCAAATTTCTCCAGAATATTGATCAGCACGAGATGGCCAGGGATAAAATCTCTTAGGATCATGCTATTTTAAAGTTAAGAAACTTGTGTGTTTAGATCAACTACAGCACTTACCCAAATAATTCTACAATTTTCTTGTCAGTATACATAGACATGCAGTTTTATGCTTAACATTCTGAAAGCTTTTCAACTGATTTTGATGATTTATAAAATTCTACTCTAATTTTTAAACAAAAGCTAAATTTATTTTTAATTAAAATCAACCATCTTCATCTGTATAATGTTACTTGTATATATGTATATTTTTCTGGGCTGACCATTTGGTATTGGATGCATGAGCTCTCTAGCCCTGAAAACATAGACATATACATATACAAATAGCACTTTATGGGCTAAGCAGGTTGTATATAATATATTTAGAAATACATATACACATATACATAATTAACATCAATTAAAGAAAAAGAGGTCATGAATTTGAAAGACAGCAAAGGAGAGTTATATGGAAGGGGTTGTAGAAAAAAAGGGAAATAAGGAAAAATGTAATTATATTATAATCTAAAAAAGTAAAATATTCCAATAAAAATCCCACAACGGAAAAATTTATACACTTAAATATTGCAAAGTATCTTAACAAATTTCATGCACTCATTTTTAAAGTAACTATCATCCACCCTTTCCTCATAAGATTCTTAAAATTAATTATTAATTAATTAATTATTAAAATCTCACAGATTATTAAAAGCAATTCTAGGATTATATTTCTTTTTTATATTTACTTATTTACTTACTCATTTATGGGGGAGGGGCACATGGAGCTTGGAAAACAGTTTTCATGAGTCATTTTACTTCAATTATGTGGGTTCTAGGAATCAAACTCAGATATTCAGGCTTAGTGTCAAACACCTTTATCCACTGAGTCATCTCACTGGACCCAATTTGTCACTTCTAAGGGGTGAAAATTATTACTAAGATTTATTTCTAATAATTATGTGTATGCGTGTTTGTGTGCGGGTGCTCACTGAGGCCAGAAGAACACTTTGAACCCTGAGTGGTAGTTGTAGTGCAAGTCTCCTTACATGGGTGATAGAGACCAAACTTGGGTCCTTCACAAGACACAAACCACGCTAACCACTGATACCTTTCTCAAGTCCCAAGAGATCTAAAGCATCAAAGCATTAACAGTTCCACCATATCATCTGGAATTCACCATTCCAATAACTTTGTAGTGTGTATCTGTTCAAGTCAAGATGCTAATGTGTTCCCCAGACTGCATTCAGGTGCCCCACACCTTAATCTCTAACAGTTTTTTCATTCTTTTTCTACTTAGCCTTTTACCTCTAGAAAAAAAGGGGGGGGGTCATTTACTTCAAAGGCTCTCTAGCATTCTAGATTTGTTGAATAGCATCACTACATTTTGTGCTACTTGTTTTTACATGTCATATAAACTGGGTGGTTAAAATCCAGTGGCTCAGGCCTAGAGAGATGACCTACCTTTCCACTGACAACACTACTGGTTCCCTGCATCAACAGTGAGCAGCCACAACTACCTACAAGTCCAGCTACACAAGATTCAGTGCCTCTGGCCTCCAAGGGCACCTGCACCCATGTGCTCATATTCCCTACCCCACTCCCCATACCTACACGATTAAGAATCTAGAGGTTGAAGGAGTACCATTTTGAAGAGCTGAGTACTTCCCATTGCACCTGTCAGCTGGCATATAACAAAGCTTTCTGCAATGTCAATTTTGGTCTAAAGGGTTGGGTATCTGCTGGGGACCCCATGGCTATTACTGCTGCTTGACAAAGTTCCAGCATTTTGATATTGTGGATCACACTTCTCCAGCACCCTTTTACTTTCATTTTTAATGATTCTTGCTATGTGTTATGGTAGTTCCCTTATGCCTTTTCCTTTGGGATATATTATGTGGTCTTCAGTGGAGGATGAGGATGTATACAGTGGCGTCTCTTTAAACGAAATAAGTCTTTGGAAAATATTCCCACCAGCATGATAACTCTGCCTACTCCCACACAAGTTAACACCAAGCTGCTGAAAAATTTAGATAACTAACATATGCCTGATAGATAAGGTATATTTGATAAATAAGATTTGTTTGATAAAGTATATTTGATAATCAAGATTTATAAATTTTTAAGGTCCACTCAGTTTCATAGTAATATCTGTTTAGCTTCCTCTTTGTTCACTCTAAGCTTTAGCTATTTGAATGAACTAAGCCATACCAAAAAAAAAAAAAAAACCCTGCAATATTCTATAATGGAGTGTCTCGTCATGTGTCATTCCCCACCTTCCAGAAAGTCCTTTTCCCAAGGTCAAGCATGTAAACAAAAGTCCTCATATCATCTGAGGCCAGAAGAAAGTTCTTGCTTGCTACAAAGGGCATTCTCCTTGTTTCTGGCAAGAGGAACTTGCAGCCCTTCCATTAACATATGACTGTGGTGCCTACTAACTTGTCTAGGATTTCCTAAAGCTGTAATTTCAGGTACTATAGTGTGCCAACCAACATGGGCTCTTTCTTAATGGTGGTAGATTACAAAGCCACTGATAAGCTCTTCTCCACCCAACATCACAGTTAGTGAAATCTAGAAAAAAGCTAAGGCCACAAAGATTTTTTATTCTAACCAATAAACCTAGTACTACAATGCAAATTCAGAACTCAGCCCATTCCATTTTATTTGCAAATTATTATTATATTTGCTCAAAGCCCCCAAAAGCTTAAACCCACTGTAAATATCTAATAATTACTCAATAGTTAAATAATGCACTGTACCTAGCAAACAAACTGCCAATGAATATTTATAAAATTTATATTATCTTCTACATTTGGGCATCAAATTTTATTGAAGAATAAAGAAGTTACTAAGAAACACTTATTATTCGAAAGTAAACGAGTAAGACTACTTTATAAAATACATATTTTTATTTATGTAGACATATCTGTGTGGGTGTATGCCATTTGCATGCAAGTGTCCACAGAGAGCACTGGAGCTGGAGTTATAAGCAGTTGTGAACTGTTTGTGGTAAGGGTCAGGAAGTGGATTCAAATCTACTAGAAAAACTCCAAGTGTTCTTAACTGATAAGCCAACTCTCCATTCTCCTGATAAGACCATATTTTAACACTGTTTAATGTAGCACTAAAGATGAGAGTGATATTTTTACGTTGCATGCTATTTTCACTTTCAAAGACAACTATGATTCAAAATTGTTCAAATATTACTTGATATTCTATTAAACACTAAGTGATGTTTGGATCTGTGTTAAGAGGTTATACATTAGAGACTGATTTCCTATTTTAATTTTCATTAGTTTAATGCACGGAGACTCAAGTAAGTATTGAGATGGGAAATTAACTTCCTATGGATAGTTCATCACCATTTCCAATAGCTTTATTCCCCACATCTCTTGTGAAATCTCTAACCCATCCCATCAGTTTGTACTTGCCCCCACCCATGTCCTTAGAAAAGGAAATGATTAAATAAAGTCTACATGAAATTGATTTCATCTTTTCATTTTATTTGCTTCACAAAATAAATTCCCAAAAATTCTTCCCCCAAAATTAACAAATATTTGCCACCATTTTTTCATTTTAGTAAAGAGTTAAGTGGCCAAAATATGAATTAGAAAAGAGATGGAGAAAGGTGGATTTAACATAGTTAATCATAATTATTTATAATTGACTATCCACTGAATAAAATTGGTTCTAACATATGAAACTCAAAATGGCCTTGGATCAACTTTTAAGAGCTTAGAAATTTGACAGTAATGAGGGTTTCATTATAACAACATTCTACACTACAGAGTTATTCTGTCTATTAACCAAAAATACAGTGCCAAAATGTAAATATATGAAATAATGCACTTATATTCACAGTGACTAGGTGGTGGAGAAACTCACCTGTCTCACATGAATATATATTGAAATAAACAGAAGCACTCATATCACCGTTCAAAGTGTAGCACTCTGAGCTTATTTGCTTATTTAATGTACATGTTTCATGATTTGCCTTATTTACAATAGAAATGAATATCAAAGCAAATTACACACCACAGGAACATGTGCTAGTTCAACAGAATCAATTAGTATATTTTGAGGACAAATTTACACAATATGTTATTTTGGATATGTTTCAAGAAAAAGAACATGAATCATACTTCAAAGCAGAAATCCTTCTCAATGGTAAATGAAACCATGTATAATTGTTAAGTTCATTAGTCAGCTAAGAAGCTTTCTAGTATCTTTGTAAAATATTCTTTATGTCAAGATAATTATCTTGCTCACAAGAGCATTCCTTATACATTTAGTTGGTACCACGTGCTCTCAGTGCTCAACCTAACACATAAAGCTGTATTAACATTACTCTACCAGGCCAACAAGAGACAGGAGAGAGCCATGCCAGATTAAAAAGGTGAGAGGTTGCTATGCGACTGACCAAACATGAAATGGGAGGGAAAGAATCGGGGTCATAGCAGGTGTAACAGCAGGGAAGAAAGCCAGTCATGCAGCAGCAGCAACTCCAAAGGCCACCTGTGACCAGAGAGAAGGACTCAGCCAAGATTTCCAAACTAGCAACCTGGGGGGATATGAAGTAACTGAGGAAAGAAAAGTGTAGATAGATGTCAAGAGGGCAGTGTGAGCAAGCCAGATCAAGATGCCAGAAAAGAAAAGGCACAAAGGGAAAACTGGTTTGTCTAATAGGTAGGGAGTTAGAAAAATAGAAATCATAATTTTCTCTCTCTCTCTCTCTCTCTCTCTCTCTCTCTCTCTCTCTCTCTCTCTCTCTCATCTGGTTAAAAGTAATATAAACTCTGTCTCAAGCTTTCTCATATGT